AAATGTCTGTTGTCACTTGAATATATCCTCATAAACCGGCTTATTATGCTGAATCTTACAGGAGTTCTCAGCCGAATTTTCCTCTTGTACATATTTTGTGGTTTCTTTGGAGACTCACCTGTCCCCTGACTAGAAATTTCTCACCTTCCTTTGACATGAACAATCAACTCTTCCAGTTCCTGGATTACCAGCTCCACAGCCCCCATGAGTCTGACTATACCTCCAGCTTTCCCCTCTCTGGTGCGAGTGCATTCTCTTCCCTTCTCTCTCGGCCTATAGAAACTTCATAGAAACAAGATTTGCCACACTACCATCAACTCGCCAGCCTGCCTCACATCACTTACGTTTCTCAGGCAGGAGGAAGGTATTCTATTTGAAGTAGATATCAAGTTCTTACAAGTAGTTCTGTTAAACTCTTCCCACTGAATTTGAGGCTTTCTCCTTGAGAAAAGATTGTGACTTAAAGCATACCAGCAGCTCTCTCCAAAAATCTTTCTACAATGTCCTATGTCTTAGCTTCTCCAACTTCTTAAAGGCTACAAATGGGTGACCATCTTTGTGTCTATTCTGTGCTTCTTGCTTGCTTGCTTGCTCTTCCTTCATTCTATCCTTCCTTCCTTCCTTGCTTGCTTGCTTCTTTCCTCCAAGTTCTACATGCTGGTCTTAGAAATACAGCATTGGGTACAGCAGTTGGCATAATAGTTACGTCACTGGACTCTGCATGTAGCCAACTGCAGCTCAAGTCCCCGCCCCAGCAGCTTAAAGCTCACACTGGGTGCATGTGAATCTGTGCCCAAAATCCAAAGAGGAGAATGGAGAGAAGGGACTGCAGCATGGCCATCCCCCCTAGGGTGTGATTTCTCGCTTTCTGTGTCTTTGTCTCTCTCTGTCTCTTTGGTGAGTGCACGTGCCCTATAGCAAAAGTCTCCTTTAAAAAAAAAAAAAAAAGGAAATATAGCATTAGTTATCTTACTCTTCAGCTGGAACTGAGATATCAATAGTGATACTTAAACATTTTATAGTACCTGAGGGATTTTGTTTATTTTTCTTAATGACAGAGAATATGTTGACGCATGAGATTTGAGAAGGGGAGGGACTGAGAGCAAGACACCCTGCACAGGGCTCAGTCCCTCTTGTTCCCCTTCCTCCAGGCCTCCAGCCTCCCAGGATCTCTGGCACACATGCATATGTCTGGTGTGTTTTCAGTCCTAGTGGGCTAGAAACTCAATCAGCAGTATCTGGTTTTGATAATGAGTGGTCACTTACTTAAAATCAGAACAAAGTGTATCCTCTGAATCATTAGAATAGACTTACATAATTTAAAATATTGTATCATAATATAAATATTATGTCTTTAATATCATCATAATATGAACAATCTAAATGGTAAGTTTCTATAGGGGTTGTGTGCTTGCCAGAGATAGAGAGACAGAGAGACAGAAAGCAAGAAATCCCCCCCCAGGGGCTGATGGCCACACCACAATCCCTTCTCCTCCATTCTCCTCTTAAGATTTTGGGCACTCATGCACATACACCTGGTGTGTTTCAAGCCACCACATCCGGACTCAAACCTCAGTCAACAATGTAGGAGTCCATCACTTTAACTACTATGCCACCTCTTGGTCCCAGTAAGGTGATTTTTAAAGATATATTATTATTGATAAATTAAATTCAGATCCACTTCACATGGATTTATGCATTCATTCCCTCTTAAAACTATTAATTTAATGTCCGCAGATAATGGGGCTCTAAGGATAAGCAGACAAGTTTGGCCCATTTCCTTGTGGAGTCTACAATCTAATCCATTATAGAAAGAGCATCTTTCGTATCTCAAAACTGTGACTAGATTGACAAGAGCTGACATAGCTGATGTAATGGAGAATCAATGGAGAAGAGAGATAGCCACTGATGAACAAAAGAGTGGGAAAATAAGAGCCCCAAATTGATCTTAAATTGATGAAAATAACAGTAGAAATCTGTGACATACAGAATTAATGATAAGATTATTTAGTAAACACAGGAGCTCAGAACAATGCCTGTGCTTAGCCAAGAATATTGAGAAAAACTTCTTTGGATGGGACGTTATTTGGAGAAAGTTACTATAAACAAATTTGTAGCTTTTTAAGAGAAGAGTTTGTTATTTCAATACAGAAAACACTATGACTATTCGATGAAATGTAATTGCAAATCTGTGCCCAACCATGGAATACTACCTGGGAGTATAATTGCTGATGGTTATGTTTTCATTTCTAGCTTAAAATAATTCTCACTTCGTTAATTTTGAATTTAAGAGGCAAATGTAAGCCTTATTGCCATACAGTATACATTCAGAGAGAAATAATGAATATTTTTGTTTCATTGTATCAATCAAATTTTAGATTAGTCATCTATATTTGCAGACTTGGATTTCAAAGATGTCTTTGATGCTAAAAAAAAAAAAAAAGAAAAAAAAAAAGAAAGAAAACAAATAAAGCAAAGAAAGCCAAAGGAACACAAAGAGAAAAATAATTATGTGGCATCCCTAGTAAACAAAATGCATGCCATGAAGCTCCTTGTGAATTTATAAATTCAAATATGACTTTGAACTTACTATGAGCCAAATAACAGTGGACCGGGCTAGGTTGTGAGAGTCGTTACGTCTACAAACTATAAACCAACCAGTTTCTCAGGAAAATACAATTATTCTTAATATTAAACAGACACTAATCCCATGGACCCATTTCCAGAAGATATTTTACAATAGAATGCATGTCTACAATTAAAGTTCCTGCGAATACGGTTTCATAAAGTACTTCCACACTCTCTGTTTGCGTGTTTGTTTTTGAAGACACCCGGTGCCAGGTAGATCTACTACATGGTCTGCTAGCCCTTCCCCTGCTCCCGCCCTTATAGTGGGAGCCGGTCCCTCACAGTGAGTTCCTCAGGCTCAAAGTTAGCCAACAGGACACCTGCTGGGCACTGAGAGGCACAGGAAGGGAGGAGCTGAGGTACTTTCTCTGTTTTCTGTGGTGTCTCCAGCTGAAGGTACATTTCCCTCTCCACTAGTAAAGTTCCGGCTTTCACCAGGTTACCCCCATTCCCTTGTCCGTTCATGCTAGGTTTAGCCATGATTTCATCTTGCTGGTTTCTGGGATGCTTCAGTATTCTATGACTGGCATCTGAGTTCTTCATCACTGATGGAAGCATTTCTCTACTTTGTTTTATTTATTTTTGAGAGATTTTTGCTATAGGGTGAATACATTCACCAGAGAGACAGAGACAGAGAGACAGAAAATGAAAAATCACCCACCAGGGGCATGGCCATGCCACAATACTTTCTCTTCCATTTTCTTGGGATCGTGGGCATAACACCGATGTGAATTTTAAGCCACTGGGTGAAGATTTGAACCATGGTCCACTATGTGGGAGTCCAGCGACATAACCATTACACCATCTGCTGGTCCCAGCATTACCCTACTTTAAATATCTTCTGCTCTAGGGGCCAGCAGGATGCATGGTTTCTAAGGCACTGGATTCCCACATGGCTAACAGTGATGTGAGTCCCAGACCTGAGAGCCTAAAAATCATGCCAGGCATGGGTATATACATGCCCAATCCCAAGAGAAGAAGAGATTGCAACATGGCCATCTCCCCTGAGGGGTGGCTTCTCGTTTTCCCTTTGTCTCTCTCCTGTAAGCACACATGCTCTATGGCAAAAAAAAAAAAAAAAACACAAAAAAAAAAAAAAAAAAAGAAACCTCTACGCTCTATACAGTCTATACAGTCAGGGAGTCTTCTGTTGCCTTAGTTGGATACTGATTGATATAATCATTTGTTAAAGACAATGCCCTATCTTGCAGCACATTCAATACCAACAACTTTATACTGGGAATTACGGACGGTGTTGTTGCCTGCATTTACATGTCCAGAGATACTTGTGCCAAAGTAAAGAGCGGACACAGAAAGGCGCAGGGCATGTAGTCTCATCAGTCACTCAGGTGTGATCTTCAGAAGGTGGATTAGAATTCACCAACAAAATACACCTGACATTTCCACACATGAATTAAACGATACACCTTCAGTAGACATGCTCTCCTGGGAAGATTCCTAGGAATGCACACCTGCCAACAATTCTGCTGTGATAAATCAGTGTAACCCAGAAAATATACCCTGGGAAGCAGTAACACTCTGCTCCATCTACCTACAAACTACATATATGTGTCACCTAGGACTGTCTTTTTTTGCTGCAAATATGGCGGCTCTAAGTGGAATGTAATGTAATTGTAGTCTTCTCCTTCCACTTCCTCACTTCAAACTAAGAAAGTCTTTACAACTCAACATGCAGATTAGTAATATAACAAACCATATGTTCAGTTTATCCTTTAGTTCTATGACATCAGTGAAGCTTTTCCAAAAACTCAGACGAAAGTCCTATATAAGAATATTTTCTTACAACTTAAAAATCAACACATTTCAGGCTAGAGAAGTCATGTGAAAAGTCACCTTAAATAGCTTAAGAACAGTCCGATGTGTGGAACCTACAATATTTAAATAGAAAACATTTATTGCAAGGCTTGGAGATGAAGGAGGTCAAAGTATCAATGCATCTCTCAGTAACTGAAGACAGTTACTTTAGTCCATAAAACAGGTTTATTTTATTCTGATACCATTAAAATTTTCAACCATATGACTGACATCAATCTTTATTACATGTATACCTGGCAATATTTGCATCCCAATTTGGCCTGGCTGGGTGTTCCAGAGAAAGAGAATGCATTGGTACAATCTTTTCATCTCTATAGTAATTATGGGTCTCACTATTAAGTCATAAAACAGCATCATAAATTAGTATGCAGTGCGATAGATACGAAAATGTGTAACCCTCTGTGAAGCTTCTACTCTTGGTGTGCTGGCAATCTGTTTCTTAGGTTACAAAATGAACTTAAGCCAGGGAAAAATGAATTATTAGACATCTTCCCCAAGAAATGCATTCCAGTAACACCCCTTTTTTCTCCACCTACCTGAAAGTCTTCTTAATGTCTTCTGCTTGGATTGTCTTGAGAATCTCTTGGTATAACAGATGATCAACTGTTCCTGAAGACTCAGTCTCTGAAGAACAATTCGTATGTGTATAATAACCTATCAAAATCCCCAAAATAAATAAACTAGTAGCTGTGCAAAGTATTTTTAAAAGGTGGCAAAAGTTGCAGCGATTGCTCTTTGGTACAGATCTTGTATAATGGGTAACGTAATCAGACTCTTCTTGAAGTCTCTGGAACCTTCCTTTGGGTGAAGTTGCTGGTTGAATGGAATCAAGATTAAGGTCCACAGTCTCTACATGGCCCAGGTTCTGATTCTCAGCACTATCTAGCTGGAACTGGTCAAAACCAGGCTCCTCTAGTTCCTTCTCCATGTCCCACTCCAAGTCAAGGGCAGTAGCTTGAAGGTCATCACTGTCTAAGTACTGAGAGTGTCCAGCAGCTCTTTGATCTGCACTGACCTTCTGATAGGCCATCTTTTTACCTGTAAAAATAAGACAAATTCATTTTCTTAAAGTAAGCACATTTAAAAAAAATACTCGCAAGGTGAAACATAAGAAAACAGTAAACTATGTTAACAACTATCAAATTTCATTGATTACACTCAAGGGAAATACATATGCCCTATAGAAAGTAATACTTTAGGTAATTATTTAATATGATGTTTTTCTGTTGATATTATATGTAGGGACAAAAGATAAAAAGTGAAAAAGAAGATACCTGGTGGAAAAGCCATGAGAAGTCAAAAATATTATACACGCATTAGACATATACCATTGACCTTCGAAGTTCAGGAGAATACCAAGTCACAAATACACAACTGTGTTGAAGGATGATATATGGCAATGAAAGCAAAATAAAATTTATACATTTTAAAAATAACTTTTTATAAAAATAAGGATAAGTACCATAAAGCTATGACTTGGTAAGTTCATGAGGGATAAAACAAACGAACAAACTAAATAACTCTGAGATGAACACATTGCCAGAGCTACGTTCTAAAACTCACACATTTAGGATAAGAAAGGGCAGACAAGTAAATGAAGTACAACAAACTCTTGGAAAAGTTCAGGGAGGAAGCATGCATTTTAAAAGGACCAGCAATTGGCATAATGGCTATGTCGCTGGATTCCCATGTAGTCGACAGCAGTTCGAGTCTCGGACCTTGTGGCTTAAACTCACGCCGGGTACATGTGTGCCGAAGATCCTGAGAGGAAGATGGAGGAGAAGGGATTGCAGCATGACCACCACACTGGGGGGTGATTTCTCACCTTCTGTCTTTGTCTCTCTCTGTCTCTCTGATGAGCTCATGTGCCCTATAGCAAAATCCCCTTAAAAAAAAAAAAAGGATATGCATAGATTTCAATTTCCTTTTTCTTTCTTTTTTTTAAAATTTTTGCTATAAGGTACATGCACTCACCAGAGAGAGACAGAAAGAGAGGGAAGGGAAAGTAAGAAAGCATCCTCCAGGAGAGAGGACCACACCACAGTGTCTTCTCCTTTATTCTCCTCTGGGGGTTTTGGGCACTCAAGCACATGTGCCAAACATGCTTTTCAAGCCACCACGTCCCAGACTCAGATCACATAGTCTACCATGTGGGATCCACCCACCTTAACCACTAAGCCACTGTCTGGCCTGTATTTCATGTTTGTTTGTTTTCTTGCAGCAAAATAAAATAGTACTTTAATCCTGTTTTTCCCATCAATTTTCAGAAGTTCCCTTTCATCACTCGACAGAAACAAGAAGCAAACTATGGTAATACCACACAGTCATAAGTAACCAAAAGGATAGGGAATTGCTAAGGCTATTACGACTAAGATCTTCCAGGAAGTAGCAACCTCAACTGGCCTGGTCAGTGGACTGTAAATAAGAGTCTTAGATGGCCCTGATCCAAAGAGAGAAGCCTTTTGCCAGCCTAGGAGAGCTTGGTTTGTAACCTTGCTACAGGAGCAGCAGATGGAGGGCTTTCTTC